TGAAAAAAGATATGAGGTAATTACAATATTAATAATTTATAAATACTTTATTTATATAATATATACGTATATATTTCTTTTTATAGGGATGTGTTGGAGTACCTTTGCCAAATGTAAAAGTGAGATTGATGTCAGAAGATTGTAAAGATGTTACTAGCTTGGTTGAACAACCAGGTGAATTACATGTGAAAGGACCAAATGTGTTTAAAGAGTATGCTATAAAATATATCTAGTAAATTTAATTATAGTCTTTATGTGTTATTATAAAGTCATTGTATTTAATTAATGATATATTTCCAACAGATATTGGAATAGACCTGAGGCTACTAAAAAGGAATTTACTGAAGATGGATGGTATAGCTAATTAAAATCACAAGTTTGTATTTTAGAATACTCGATTATAATTTTTTTTATTATTGTATAAAAGGTTCAAAACAGGTGATATAGCCATGATAACAGCAAAAGAAAAGGTCTTCAAGATCCTTGGTAGACAAAGTGTCGATATTATTAAAGTATATTTTATGTACTGTAAATTCTCGAAATAGCGGGCACTGACGTTATTTCGAATTTTGGCCCGAATTATGCTTAATTCGGACCAAAATTCAAAATAACGCCCATGCTCGTTATTTCGAGAATTTACGATATAATGAATTAGTAGTATCATGTCAAGTAATACTATGCAATTTGGTTAATATCTACACGTATTAATACATTTCTTTTTTTTTTAAAAAAAAAAAAAAGAGTGGGTCATATAAACTTTCAGCTTTAGAGATTGAAAAAGAATTATTATTGCATCCCGATATACAAGAAATTTCTATTGTAGGAGTTGAAGATCCAGAATGGGGACAAAAAATTGGTGCGATAGTTGTTTTAAAAAATCAGGTAAATATTTATTTCATAGTAATATTATAACGATAATAATTTTTTAAAAAATAAAAAATTTTTTAAAAACGAAAATTATTTTTGGTACAGGAATCAAAATTGGATTTAAAACAATTAAGAGAGTTTGCAAAAGATAATTTGGCACGTTATAAATTACCTACTTTATTAAAAGTTATAAATGAGATGCCAAAAAATGCTATGGGAAAAGTTAATAAGAAGGAGTTGGTTAAGTTATTTAATGATTAACGCTAAAAAATTAAATGCACATGTGGTACTTGTAAATGTATCTGGAAAAATTTTCGACTAATTAAAACAATAATTTGTCACTTGTATTGATGCATCATTACTACGACGGCTAAAACTCGATTCTGAGGGATTTTTTGGAGAATCTTTATTACTAGGTCATTTTGTCCAAACGTTACAAGTTACACTTTTTATATATAATTCAATAAAAAAACAACTAGTTTTTGAATAAAAATATTTTATTAAATACTTAAATCAGAGTGGCAGAAAGATTTGATCAATTGAAAAGTTTACGAATTATAAAATTATAAAGTTGAAAAAGTATTTTATTTCGCAATATAAAAGAAAAAAAAACCAAATGATTTTAATCAATCAAGATACAAGGAAGTTAAAGTAGTATTTGTACAAAGGACATTTTTCAATCTTTCCGAAACTTCAAGACTAATTTGATTTTTTTTAAGATTTATGTCAGTCAAAGTAATGTTCTCGCAAAGAGCCTTTGCTAAAGCTTCCCCCCCTGTAGAACCAATCCGATTGTTGTAAAGATTTAAAGATGTTAATTTAGAGTTTTTACAAAGTGCTGCCGCCAACGCTTTTCCACCCTCATAGCCAAGTTGATTAGAGCTAAGGTTTAAAGAGGTGAGTGTTGTGTTCTGGTAAAGAACCTCTGCTAATGCTTTACCCCCCTCTGAATCGATCTGATTATTGGATAGGTTCAAAAAAGTCAAGGTAGTGTTCTTACAGAGAGCGTCCGCAAATGCTTTACCACCTTCAGAACCGATCCGGTTATTACAAAAATCTAAAGAGGTCAACGTATTATTCTTACGAAGAGCTTCCGCTAATGCCTTTCCTCCTTCGTATCCAAATTTGTTAAAACTGAGGTTTAAAGAAGTCAGGGTGGTATTCGTACCGAGAGCCTTTGCTAATGCTTTTCCACCATCAGACCCAATCTGATTATTACAAAGATCTAAGGAGGTTAGTGTAGTGTTTTTACAAAGTGCCTTCGCTAACGCCTCTCCCCCTTCAGAGCCAAGTTGATTTGAGTAAAGATCCAAGGAGGTTAGAGTAGAATTTTTGCAAAGAGCCTCCGCTAATGCTTTTCCTTCTTTGGAGCCGAGTTGATTAGCGCCAAGATTTAAATAAGTTAACGTATTGTTTTTATAGAGAGCTTCTGCCAACGTTTTTTCATCATCAAAACTGATGTGATTATTACAGAGATCTAAAGTTTTTAAGGCAGTGTTTTTACAAAGAGCTTCTGCTAAAGCTTTCCCTCCTTCGACGCCAAGTTGATTAAAACTAAGATTTAACGAAGTTAGAGTAACGTTGTTGCAAAGAGCTCTTGCTAACGCTTTTCCCTCTTGAGAGCCAAGTTGATTAACGCTAAGATTCAAAGAAGTCAATGTAGTATTTTTCCAAAGAGCTTCTACCAACACCTTTCCATCGTCAAAACTAATCTGGTTACTACGAAGATCTAAAGAATTTAAGGCAGTGTTTTTACAAAGTGCTTCTACTAGCGCTTTTCCTCCTCCGTAGTCAAGTATATTACAACCAAGATTTAGAGAAGTGAGAGTTGAATTCTTGCAAAGTGCTTCTGCTAGCGCTATCCCACCTTGAGAACAAATTTGATTATCGTGAAGACTTAAAGATTTTAATTTAGTATTAATACAAAGGGCTTTCGCTAATGCCTCTACATTCTTAGAATTAATATCATTATATTCGAGATTCAAAGATGTCAAAGTATTATTATTGTTGCAAAGAATTCTTGCTAAAGTTTCTACAGCATTTGTATCGGAACCGTCCATAGAATAATTGATAGTGGTAACTGTAGTGTTTTTGTCAAGATTTTCAAATACTATTCTATCAGACATAACTCCGTCGTAATTTAAATATTTCAGTTTCTTGCTTGTTCGTAAAAGCATAGCAATTAAAGAACACTTGACAGTGTTTACAAGACAATAAGTTAAAATATATTTTCCATTGTTAAGCCAACTTTCGATTCCCTCGTGTAAATTGTAGCTGACGGATGTAATATATCTGGTGTATTCGAATAATGGTTTAGGATATATTGGAAAACTTGGAACTTCAATTTTAAGAGAGTATAATGGAGCACTTTCTTTAGCGTTTAATGCTAAAAGAAGTATTTCTATGAGTCTTTTATCGTTGAAAGGGATCGTTTGTCCGCTCCATAAAATTGGTACTACAATTCTACACCATTGACGGTTTACGCGAAGGCATGAATACAAGTTGCTGTGATTATTTCGGAAGTTGTTGAATATAATTACAAGACATTCGCTGGGTAATGATAACATTTTGAAAGTAAAAGGAAAAAAATTTGTGATTTTCACTTTTTGATGTTACGTATGTTCTTATATATATATTATACGTATAATTGATAAAATTTTAAAAAAATGTCGTGAAACGTTGCAATAATGAGGTCTTAAAACAGCTTACTCCCATAAATTTTCCCACATGTGATGATATCTCATGTTCGTGTAACATTACCCGTAGATCAATCACTGATCAATCGATATTCCCTCATGTTCGTGTAACATTACCCGTAGATCAATCGATATTAATCGATATTCCAAAGTATTACTGTATTACAGTCAAATCAATATTCACTACAAATTCTACATACCTGTAGAGCTCGAATTATTGACAAGTTTTTATAAAGATTATTGTAACAGATAGTGTTCGAGTTTTGCATATCTAATCTGAGAGATCCCGAATTCAATCAAAACGGAACTGGATCTGCTATTTTTAAAGCACTCCTATTTTTTAAGATATCGACTCAACTAAGCTGCGACAGAATTTATTAGCAATCGGAAAACTTCCGTTAGTTATCATTAGAGTATATGTAATAGATTATATTCATTATTTGTTAATATCTCCGGCTACAGATCCAAAATTCCGTTTAATAGAAACATCGCCGGAAAAAAATCAGGACACGTCATGTCACGATTTTGTGCACTGTCCCAAATCATGCTTTATTTCCTATTCTGTACATACTACGACAAATTAAATATATCTATATTAATTCAAATGAAGTTGAATACGTAGTAATTTTTCATAAAATTGAATATATAGCTTATTATATTTATATATAAATATATACGTAAAATGAAGTTAAATATATAGTATATATATAAATATATATATTTATTAACTTGAATGAATATTATCGTTATAGCGATAGTGCATAAAAAAACCTGATATGTCAACAGGATGAAGATAGAATCTTGCGTCCAGCCATTCTGTGTAACTTAGAACGTTAATGGGAAGCCCGCGTTCTCCTTGTTGAAAACTATCCCATCAAGCCAGCTTTGAACCCAATCTTGTGATCATAGTATTTGTAGTCGACATAACGATAAATTTATCGACTGACTAATTATTCGTTGTATATGTGTCCCGAATTTTTCAGTATTTATACTCTATTTCCTCGAAATTTTCCGATATTTCCTATATTCTTTAATCCCTCGATCTTTTAAAAAATCGGTCGACTTAGTCGGCTAAGTCGATTTTACCGACCAACACCAAATCGATTACGATCACTACAGTTGTCGTATTTTTCCGAAAATAGCATCATCGAAGTCTCATCTACGCTATTCTACGAAAGAAAATAAGAAAAGAAAGCGAAAATTCTCGAAAACTAATGTTTAAATCGACCTTTGGTGCCCTAATTAAAAATGATGGGAACGAAATTTTACATATAATAAATACTGAAATATAATTATAGCCTTCAATATTGACACTCTAAACTTCTATTTTATGCACTTACAGTAGTTTATTACAAATTAAATTTCACTCACAATTTATATATACACCCAAAAATAAGCATCTGTCATGTAAAATACATACATAGCTTACTCAGATATAAAATATTTTATTGGTCAACGTGATCATAGCGGCAAGTTAGGGGATCATAATACTGCGTATTTATAATTCCAGCAAAAAATTGGCAGTTCCGTGATAAATCCAACAATGATACAATCCAATTTCATCTAAAAAATATTTGATTAATAAAATAGAGACAATATATATTTAAATTTTTGTGCTAAAGACTTTTATTTAATAATAAAAGGCTAGTTTTCATAGCAAATTTATGAGTTATTTTCGATTTCTTTTTTTTTTCGTTTTTTATTTTTACTTTAAATTTATATTTGCACATTTCTTAAAATCAGATTGGGTAAAATCACAGGATTGCCAAATTTTTGCGCCATCACTTTGATAACCGATGATTTTCTGCGTTTCACGGAATGTCACGGAAAGTGGGATATGGAGCACGAATGGTCACAGAAAGAAGGATACAGCACGGAAATATCATAAAAAGTAGGGATACTGTAGGAATATAAAGAAAATCAATTTTTTTTACCTAAAACTTCCAAATAGTGCTACACGTACAAATCGGACTAAAAAATGCAATCGATTAGTTTGCAAAAAAAATTTTTTAAAAACCGATTAAAAATAGATTATAGCCAACTAATCGATTAATCGATTAGTCAATTAATAGTTAGTATATATATCGAAATTGCTTGGATATAATTGCGTCGCCATTAATTACAAGATCAAGGTATGATACCGTATAAAACAACTAGTCAATTATTGCAACGTCGTGTGAAAATCGGAGATTCTGCAGATTTTAAGAATCTTTATCGGTTTCAAATAAATATAAATATAACTGATCGAAAATATGAATTACCGTATAGGTCCGAATATAAGCAACCCTCCAAGCCACTCGTTTTAGCCAATTTTTTTAGGGGTTGCTTAAATTCGGTAACTTTTAAAATACTTGATTTCTATTGGTCCATTTATTTTACTTATAAATGACTAGCAAACTTACAGTAAAGAATGCGCAAATAAACCTTTGTATCACTACCAATTTTTTTTAAAAAAAAGCACACTTTGAGTACCAGTACTTTTAAACCCACAAATCTGGGTCATATCGGTTATGCTGATGGAATAAATTATGTTGGTTTTTGTTATTGACATGGAATTAAAGTGAA